TTTTATTTATTGTCTTTGATATAAATTTGTTCGTGAATAATAAAATAATAATGGAAAGTATTGGATAGTATAAAAAAATGGTTAATAAAACGACACATCAAGGACAAATCACTTCAAATGAACTGTCATCTCTACTAGATTTTATCAATGTATCAAGTTAAAAAGCATGAAATATGCGCTTAATTACTTAATCTATTATGATAGTTTCAGCTCTCATAATGATAGATTTGATTGATAATTTATAAACATAATGGTAATATTGATAATTTTACGTAAAACACAGGATACAGATGGACAACCTTCTCTTCCAAAGACAGATACGGTCTGTTACACTCATATTTTATCAAGAACGTTCAAAATTGAAATAGGACGTAATAACTTTATTGCAACTCTGTGTTCACTTGAAGGGATTGGAAACTATTTTTCACAGACTCCATCATCAATATTTATGAGTTATTTGTACTAATTGTTCCAGACTACTGCATTCACAGACTCTCGATATTCTCACAGTTTGTGGGGTAGTGCATCTGCTACATTCTCAAGCTCTTGGACATATAATTAATTTAAACTAAATAGAATCTAATCTATTATCGAAGAAACAATCAAGTTATATAATTATATATGAATCTTCTTACATCTAGATGTAGAAGAGTTCGGACTGTTTTGATGAATATTATGAAAATAGCACAGATCAGAGTATATTTCAAAACTGATTCCGTCATTTACTGATCTAAGTTCTTTATCATTTCAATTTGTAATATCACCTGTGATATAAGCATTTTTTCTGTTCTGAAATGACTTTCTGCACAAAACGTTGCAATCACAGTGTATCTTCGCAAAAACGCTTTACAAACTACAATTTTCTTTCAACTATGTCTTCGATTTAACAAAAGCAAATATGAGTATAAAACAAATCAATAATAATTAGAAGGTCTGATATTCATCCTTGCGTTGCGTTTTCTTTCACCTCAGTTTTCTTTCATGATAGAAAGGATCACCATCGCGGTATGTAGCTGGCAAGAGCCGAAATATTTGTGATATATATGATTAATAGAGAAAAATAAAAAAATAAGAGAAGACTAACAGACAAAATGGACTAAACTTTGTTATCAATTTTCTTATACTTCGATTTACAAGAGCTCGGAACAATTTAGTAAAGAATTGTTTGCTCATTCGGATTTACCTACCTAAGACACATGTTCCTAATGTGGTATGAGAAACAAGTTACGAATTTGATATACGAAGAATTTAATTTTGCACGTTTATACTACGCACTGGAAACAAAATTACAAAATTTTTGGAGATCTCACGAAAATCGATGCGTGGTTTTCATGAGAAAAAATGCTGCGTTTCGTCTGATAAACATCCGTGTTTGTACTTTCAAAGATCTCGCGAGGCAGAAACACGAATTTTTTATCAGACGAAATTTTTGGATTTATAAGATGAATACTGTGCGGTTGGACTAATTTGTGCTTGTGAGTTTTAGATTAAAAGTGCTATGTACATTGTTGATTGTGAAATCACGTTATACCCAAGCAGCAGAAACTTGGAAAAGTCTGCCAGATTTGAGAGATGTAACAATTTCGGTTTAATTTCTTCGGATGGGAACTGCAATCAGTTCTGATGAGCTTTAGGAACGAGGAGTGTCCACCACTGTGAGATTCCTCTGCAAGGAAACTCCTTCAAGCGCCCATTCACATTTCCTTCAATCATAGAAACTCGAGGATAAGTATTCTTTGATGGTGGCCATGAATCTGATATTCGTTTATTCCCAAAGGTTCTTCTTGAGTGCTTCTCCGAAAATCGGATGCCTTAAAATCTAGTATGAGCTCTCATCAGAACATATTTTGACAGTGTCATATTGTAGAGCACGTTGAGTAATTTTTACGCAAGACATTTCTGAACTAACAAATAAGTTTTCGCACAGATATAAAATTTTTATTTCCTGATCCATTATAAAACGAGAATGTTTCAACTTTTAGTACTTCAAACAATTTTATATCTGTGCGAAAACTTATTCGTTGGTCCAGAAATGTTTTTCGTAAAGATTACTCGACATGCTCTACAATCCGATACTGTCAAAATATATTCAGATGAGAACTCATACTAGATCACCAGATATGGACCTATGAATCCACAGGACTCGCAAACTCCTTGAAATTTTGAAGTCAAGATAATGTGCCCAGGCTGAGTTATGAATTTAATGAGAGAGGACTCAAAAATGTTTCAAAAGCAACCGACGATCGTAACATGGTTCCAGAAACTAGACCTGCATCGATACCGATGTATGCACCATATTGCACCGGTATCTGCGAAGTGAATTTTATCGTAAATTTTCACTTTCTTTTTTCAAGTCACAGGCGCTAACCGAAAGAGCTTTGAGTGTACCCTATTTTGGTCAAAGTAAATCGTGATTTTCAAATGTTAAAGGAAAATTAAGGAAACAAGTTTAATATACGTAATCAATGAAAATACGAATCGATTGATGTTGCTCGTTGATAATTTCCCTAAAAAGTGTCTGTTCCAACAACTTTAATGAGATTTGGAGAGAAAGCAATTGAAAATCGTAACAGTTTATAGAGAAAGTGCAAAACTGCCACGAACATGATTATAAATCACGGAATAATTTATTATGATATTTTGGTAGGTCGCTTCTACCATCATCAGACAATAAATGTTTTACAAAGTGTCAAAAGGAAAACTTAGTTTTATATGTTGTATTTTGCATGATTTAGATAGAAAAATCATTTTTACACACGACTGAATGTGCTTTCTTCTTTCAAACTTAGTTCCTGGATTGACTGGCGGCCAATATCTGTAGGACGGACAAAAGAACCACCTGTCAGAAAAAGTTGTTTTTTCACTTCCAAGAAAGTTTTCGTACAAAACGAAAACTGACATTCGTAATCAGCATGAAATTCTGCATCGAATGATGTATAACTCAAATAAATCGAAAAAAAAACTTTTTCCATATTCCAAAGGAGTCTACGGCTTGTCCACGTAATGCAACATTGCGCTGATCAAGTTTTTTTGAATTTTTTTCATCGGAAAATCGATACGGGCACATCACTAGACGCAGCTGTTCATGCTGATCACGAATCTGACTGTTTTTTGAAGCAAAAATTAATTTTCAATATAAAAATTTTAATTTCAATTTTCTGACCTAGAAATTTTGTTCAAAAAATTTTAAAAACATACCATTGAATAGAGAATTCAATTCTCCATAAAATGGCTCATTTTGTTTGAGATCTATTTTTCAGTCGAGACACGGTGGCTGCTTGAACGTTTCAACTTCTGCCTTGGTCTTAAAATCTTAGAGAATTTTTCGAACTTTATTTGCAACTGGAATCTTTTCAAGAAATCCAGAACTACAGAGACTATAAGTATGAAGTTTTTTGAATCACGATTAGTACCTAAAAATGGTGCGACAACTGTGTCACAGTGTTACTTTACAAAATCGAGTTTTCTAGGCGTGCAGAAGGCTTTGGAAAAAAGTTCTTTTTACCAAAAGAAAGCTCGTTCGCTCCTTCACAAACTTGCCTCTAGAAACTTTTCAGATGCACAGTTCAATTCGCAGGAAATCAGAGCTGTGTCAGGAGTTCTCAAAAAAAAGAGACCTTTTCTGTCACAGTGTTACTCACCGAAAAATCTTTCTGGAAGCTTGAGTCTTGAACTAAAAATCTTCGTTTTTATATCGTACGTAGAGTTTGGTGAGCTGCGTCGAATGGCGCCAGAACGAACTTTCTAGCTTCTACAGTTTTCGAGAAAAATGCAAATTACTGTATCAAAAATGTCACAGCGTTACCTTTGGACAAGCGCTCTAGGAAATTTTTCGAAAAACATGAAAATCGATTTTCGACAGAAAAAAATACGGTATTTTATTCATAATTCGATGCTGATTCTGAATATATAATTATTTTTTGAAAATAGTGTGGTCAAAAAAATGGCGTTATCTCAATTAGTCCTTTTCCTAAAATGTTTTTTCTTAAAATAGTTTTTCTCAAAAATAGCAGAAATTGACATAATGGATCATAAAGAGAAAAATTCTCTAGTGTTTTAGAAGAAACCCGTAAGAGTTTTTCTTTTCTTACGACTTCTTGCAAAATTTTTCAAACTTTTTTCAGTGTGTATAATACTAAACGAGTTTAGATGCTACAACGAAAATCTGATTCGCGATTTATGTCATAATTTTTTACGGTAAAAGTGGTTTAACACAATGTCAAACATCAGCATTATTTTAATCATATTTATGTATTTTATTTTTAAACATTTATTAACATGAAAATGAATGTTCATCAAAATAAGATTGATTCAGTCTCTAATGAAAACCAATTGTAATCAGATTTCAGATTAAATTCATCACAAAAATTGGATGCTATTAGAGAACCATCACTACCACAACAGACAATAATAAGTGCAAATAATTTTGTGTCAAAAGTTTTCACAAAAAGTAAAAATCATGTAATGTAAACAGACCAAACCGAAAACTTTTTCCATGGTCACCAAAGAAAAAGAAAAAAGAAAACAAACATATTTGTTAAAAATGAGATCACTTTTTTTGCACAATAATCATACACTTTTTAGACAAAATGAAAAAAATTCATTTTTTTTTATTGAGATAAAATGTCTAGAATAACTAAATCCGTGTAACATTGATAAATAAATGACTATAATTCATAATTATTGGTCCAGTACAACTGACATACGTCACCAATATCAATCTTTCGATCGAACCATACTTTACACTTATGAAAGGAAAAAACCATTATACAAAATAAAACAAAAAAAACATTAATATATATTGATTTTATACAAACAATAGATTTTGTTCGATATACATTACTCACTCTCTGACAATGTCAATATAGTTAACAGAAAATATATGACAAAAACGATAGCTTTCTATACGCATAGTATTTAAAAAAAGAAAAACAAAATAATTTCATTGGCATTTAACCTTGTTAATAAATTATTAAAACATGAGAAATAAAAAATATTAATTATGTTTTAACAATACCGTGTTCACATGCTTTTAACATAATATTTTTAAGTAATTCACTATCTAATGATTGAAATGCATCTGTATGACAAACGGCTGTAAGATTATTTAGACAAAATTTAAGACAATGTTCTCTTAAATCATCTGCCTGATGTTGAATTGATGTTTGATATAATGCTAATGCATTATCAATTGTTATTGATTGTTTAATTATTCGTTCACATTCAATTTTAACTTGTGGTTCACAATAATAATTAGCTAATTCAAGTAACTCGAGAACATCTTCACTTTTAACAATAATTTTATCTGTATAAAAATAATTTAAAAATGAACGATATACACTTGGTGAATATTGTTCTTTAACAACAATTTTTTCAACTGAAGGATTTATAGAATTTATTGTAGATGTTAACATTGATGAATCTGTGGATTTTGTCCAACGTTCACCAAATAATGTATTAAAATATTGTGAACGAATTTTTAATAAATATTTATTAACATAAATATGTTCATCTCCTACAACAAATATAATATCAGATAATGCGGGATTATTGAATGATTTACTAATAGATTCGAGTAATGGAATATGTGGTGTTTTTTCAGTAGAATAAAGCATTTTTGGTGATACAGCAACTTGAGCAAATGAACCAAAGACATCTGTCATTGATGTAAATTTTGTTAATAATGGACGAAGTACTTCGTGACTCTTACAAAAACCCCACATATAAACTTCGTTACTAGATGATAATCCACATGATAAATGTGAATGATTCGATGCCAATATTTCTACAATTCGAATCGATAAATTGATACGTTGTGGTGTTAAACCATTCGTCTTATTATTATAACCCAATTGTCCTGAAATAGAGAAAACAACAGCTCTTTCAATATCTCTACAAAAAATAAATTGTCATATATTTACAAAACAAATTAGGAAATAATGACAGATAAATTAATCGCATTCATAATGCTATTCTCCTAGATTTTTTATAACTTCATGTATTCCTTTTTTTTCTTACCAAATGTGTTTGAACCCCTAGAAAAAAGGATAGAAAAAAGAATTCAAGTTAGATATCGTGTAAGTGAAGAGTTATTTTACATACCATGTAAAGACTGATCCATCAGATGCCAACGCTAAAACATGCGCATAGCCGCATGCAAGCTAAAAAGATGAAAATAACAAATTTTTTGGTGTCATTTTGGGAGAGTACAAAATTAAAACTTGGAAAAAGTTCGAAATGACTAAAATTTGGAAAATATTCTAGAAAATGAATGGTTCCTAGTTAAATGCATATACCGGATGTCCCAAAATTTATCTACAAAAATTGTCGGATAAATCGCTTAACTCTGCTTTTGGAGTGTGAGTATGTTACCGTTTTCACTCTTATTGTTTGTATTATAGTATTAAAAGAGAACATGCTACAAACATGAGGGACGTCTCACTTTGTAATTGAAAGTGTGCTCTTCGAAATCTACTCTATGATCAGTTCGATTCACTCAATCTTCTTTGTCCTACAATCGAAATGCTAATATCCGCAAGAAAAAGAAAAATCTAATTTTAAGCTCGCTGTCTTTTAATCATAATGCAAAGAAGATTGAGTGAATCGACTGATTATAGAGTGGATTTCGAAGAGCACACTTTCAATTACAAAGTGAGACATTCCTCACATTTGTAGCATGTTCTCTTTTAATACTATAATACAAACAATAAGAGTGAAAACGGTAACGTACTCACACTC